GGGAAAGGATGGAATGGTAGGCAACAAGGACAAGTTCTTCATGTGACTGTCCACATATATTCTATTTCTGGTGCTCATACACCGTTTTGCATACAATCAAATTATTTTGTACAACAGTGTCTGTAGGACCTGTGTTTATGTCATACCTCAATTCTTCTTACTACCCATGCGAGCCAGGATGAATCCCTGCAGCATCTGCTTTTCTGTGCACTGCTAAATTCTACTTCTCTTTTAGTTACTAGGGGGTTTATTAGCAGAATTACTAGTCTAGCATAGTTCCAATAATTTAGTTTAACATCTGTTCTTAAAAAATTCCCTCCATCATACCAGAACTGTTCAATTATGAAGGAATCCAAGTCTCCAGGATTCAAAATCTGTCCCTCTTCTGAGGCCACCATTTGTATTAATGAGACGTAAGTACCCCTTCTCCATTGGTGAAGCACACATTCCAAGTAAGTGCTCACTCATTTTGTATTTGTTTGTTTTGGTAATAGGTTAAAAAAAAAAAAGTAAGGAAACCCTATGTCAGTCTTTTCCTCCTGAAACTCTCCATATGGTCTTTAAACCACAGAGGGATAAATACCCAGTCTATACATCTCTCCCAGTGTTTTAGTAATATGTGCATCTACTCCAGAATATAGCACTTGCTCTTTCTTAAAATAGTTACATTCAATCATCGCTGAGTTAAGAACAGCAACTAAGACTACAACAGTCTAATCATCACAGGAAAGGGTGTTCTCAAGGTGACTGCAGACATGTCTCCTTCCCAAAGACATGCAAAAATCAAAGCATAAATTCCATTATATATCTGCTCCCAGTCATACTTCTCAACCAAGAGCTACCTGATGGGCCAGTGAGTTGCATCAGATAACTCTGCACTGATTCGTCACCAGGGCTAGAAACAGACATTCAAAAAGCTGGAGCCTGAATTGATTCAATCTTTGCAGATTAGTCTAACCTGCCTAGAGCTGGGAGGCGCTAGAATGTGCCCTCAGCTTCAGGGAAGCTGTGCTGGGAGCTGGGGGTGGCCAACCTGGGCAGTAGTCTTGGTTGAACTGGCCAGGAAGGGGTTTAATGCCCCACTCCCTGTCCCACCGGCAGGGACCCAAGCCAGGTCTGCCAAGCGCTCTGCCCTTGCTGCTGCAGTGGCAGGGCTGGGCATGGCCAGACACCAGCCAGCATGGCCCCTGAGGCAGAGGTAGCGGGGAGAGGGGTTATTCCCCTCTTCACCCCGTCAGGGCCACAGCTGGGTCTGCCTGCCCCAACTGCCACCACCACCACTCCCTCCCTGCTTGGGGCAAGCGGTGGAATAAACCCCCTACTGCCCCCTCCACTGGATGCCAGAGGGAGAGGGAATAACCCCCCTCCCTAGCCCCCCAAGGGGCCCTCCTGCCCAGCATCTTGCTGTACCCACCCTTGTGCTGCTGCACGCTGTCCGCCGCAGCTCTGCCCACCCTGCAGTGTGCACCCCCACCAAGAAGGGGCTTGTTCTCCCTGACCCCATGACAGGGGCTGCTGCCCCCATCAAGAGCCCTCCCCCCTCACTGCTGCAGCAGGGGGAAAAGGACACAGCCAGATGCTGGCCAGCTGGGCCCCTTAGGGAGTGGGGGTGGGGGGCCATGCTGGCTGGCCTCTGGCCATGCCCAGCCCTGCCACTACAGCAGTGAGGGGGGAGCATCCAGCAGACCTGGCTTGGGTCCCTGCCAGTGGGACAGGGAAGGGGGAATTAAACCCCTTCCAAGACAGTTCAGCCAAGGCTACTGCCGGGGCTGGCCATACCCCACCGCTGGAGCAGCCAGCATGGAGAAGTGCAGGTCCATGCTGGTGGGAGAGGGGAGGGAGTAGGAGAATAAACTTCTTCCCTGCTCCCTTCCGGGGCCAGTGTCTGGCCAGACCCCTGCCCCTGTGTGTCCCTGCCTGCCCCTGCTCCAACTGGAGAGCAGAGGGGAGAGGCTAGCCCAGCTCTGCTGAAGCAGAAAGCCCAGCCCAGAGAGCATGCCGGGATGCAGGGGGACTCTGGTTTAACTTAAACCAGGAAAGGGTCTGGGACAGACATTGCATAATTTTGAGCTCAATCAGTTTAGACTGATTGCCTTTTATTAGTAAATGTTTAGGATTGTGAATCCAAAAAAGCTGACAAAGCCGATAGGGAAATACATAGCGCCCGAGCGAGGGACTAACAATTACTATATTCAACCAGGTTCATCTCAAACTGGTTTCAGCCATTTTGAAACTGATTTAGCTGCACTGAACTTCTGTTCTGTTACAAGTTTAAAGCAGTTTCTGTTCACTTAAACCAGTTTATGTGTAATGTCTGTCTCTAGCCCAAACCAACATGTTACCCCCTCTCTGAAATGCATACCTGTGCTCTTGCAACTACAGACTCAGTACCAGTGCAAGAGATTTCAGAGAATCTGACAGGGTCCCTCAGCAAGAATGCTCTTACTACAAATAGTTTGCTCTGGGCATGTTTAAACAGCCTTTGAACTATGGTCGGCAGGTCAAAAGACAACGTGCAGGGCTTTTCATCACTGCAGTGACTCAGTCCATTGAACATCACTTGGTCTGATGACTCCTGAAGGAAGTCTGCACCATAGAAGACCTAGCCATGCCAATACATTTGACCATATTACATGCCTAACACTGGAGAAATCTATAATTATGGTGGCAGGACATGAAAAGACTCTGTTCTGTATATCATCTGTCTACAAGACCACCTTTTTAGAAGCCGTAAAAATCAGCTCAAATAGCAAAGATTCATGCCCCCTCTCATTCACAATAGACTCCATCCGTAAAATTTTGCCTAAGGCTGTTTGGGTATTTGTACACATGCATGTGCCACTGTACACACTTGCTGAGAAAATGGTGGTGGCACACTTTTCGATAAAAACACATCAAAGGTGTTTTAGTTCAAAAGCTCACCACCGCTGTTTTCTGTGCACTGATGGACATTTCACAGTTTATACAAATGTCTGCGATGCAGTGCCAGGCACATCAGCTTGCATGCTCCGCAGACTCCTTTAATCGAGTCTGCTCTGACACGATGGATTTCCAGCACATCGGAGCAGACAAAGGTACGTGTATAAATGCCCTTTGTGACTTTCAAGTGAACCAAGTGATCCACCTTCTAGTTTAACGGAAGCGTCACTCTAGCCCAGAGGAAGTTAAACATCACAACCTAGACACTGGCAAGACTCTAGTCTACTATTTGAACAAAATAAAGCCATTAAAAAAATGGTGTCAGACAGTTTCTAACCACTACAGACAGGGTTAAAAGTCATCCTATAGCCATCCAAACACTGTGTATAGTAGAAACTCCTATAAAATATCTCATATGCACTTCTACAAATTAGACTCCATTCTATTAGAGATCAGGCAGGTTCTGGAGCCTCTCTTGGGAACTTTTCCATTTCTAAAATATGGAGGATCTCTATCAGGAATTCAGTCTACAAATGCAACCAGAATTATTCCTTACCTGAAGCATCATTAAGATGCAGTGCCTGCTTTAACAAAGCTGTCTTGCAACCACTATTGAAGTGGACACTGAACACACATCCAGATGATAAGGTCATTGCTTGCTAACCAGCCAGATGAGTAAATATGTGGACAATGACTCAGAGATAGAACTGGGATTCTCAAAAATACGTTACATGTACCTATTCCACAATCTGTCCTCCTTCGTGGATGCTCCAGAGTTCTAGTACCTTGATTCGCTATTGTGAATAAACTAAAGGATGATTTAGCCCACATATTCCTTTATACCCTTGAATGAGTTGGCAAGAAAAATGTACCCAAGCCAGAGATGTGGGCCCCCAAAAATGCCATCGCTGTTCAAATTTAGTGTATTCCACATCAGAAGTGGTACACACACACCGTCCTTACATGTCCTAGAGATGACTGGTATCCTCCCCTTATACTATTAAGAATGATAAAGTTGCCACTTCTTAAAGGCTTCTTGCAGAAGTCTTTTCTTGGTGTTTACATGGTCTGAATGCTGTGCAGTGCAAGGATGGAAGATTTACTGCAGAGATGGAAGGCACATTCCCACTATTGCTAAAAACTGTAGAGAGGTAGGGTCACTTTTCTTGCCTTTTTAAAAGATGGCAGATTGCTGTCAATAAAGTGTCATTACATGGGAGGGTTGGAGACCTGCCAGACTTCTCAGGAAGACAGGAGCCTTGCAGGTCAGAGCTGCCATCAAGTAGTATCCTAAAGCGCACAGCCTGTGTCAGTCAGCTAGTCTCACTGACCAGGACAGTGGGAGAGGGGTGTTCAAGAAAAACTCAAGGTTGTGAACCCAAAGCTCCCAGGTCAAGACTGTAAGACTATATGCGGACCAGAAAACGCAACTTTTACATAACCCTAATAGCTTCTCAGGGATGAAAGCTGGTAGGCAAATAAATTATTGTTCCTAGACATATGGTAGCTACCCTACACAAAAAACAGAGACCCTTCATCAAAGGGTCTGCAATCTAAGCAACACAAGGAAAATAAAAGCAGCAGAAAGGGTACAAAGGGGGAAGGACAAGTGATGAATACAATTACTGAGCACACCATGGTTAAATCAGGTTCTGTCTAAATGTAAAATAAATAAGCAAATCTTCCAACAGAAGTAAGTCTTTGACAACACCTGGAATGAGACTAAATAATGCTAAAAGCTTGGCAGAAAAGTTGTTTTGCAAAGGATTTTGATATTTCAAAATTGAGTTTCATTGCAATTCAGAACGCAAACACAAGGTGTTGACATTCTCTGCAAAAGGGATTGCAGGCCCTTCAAAGGCTATTCTGGTGGAAACCTTAGGAGCCTCAGCCTGCCAAGAGCTGTGAGCATGGTTGCTTGGGAGCCATGACCCACAGGGGTTTTTCAGGCTACCAATCACGGCTGCCAAGTGGTTTCCTGAAGATCTGGCCAGGTAAACCTGGTAGAAACCACAAAGGTTTACAAACCCCAGGCATGGTTCTCCTGGGAATTTGTCAAAACCGAGCCATCCCTGCAAAAAGTTCTAGCTTTACTGAATCGGCAAGTTCTGACCAAAACAAAAAGTTTGTTAGAATTTTTCTGACCAACTCTAACAATGACCTTGTATTTAGTTTAAGATTGCAGCAAATGCCAATACAATGTTATTGCAACGTGCATTAATTTGCTTCATCATATATTATAAAAAACACAACAAACTAGGCAAAAAATCATCAAAAGATGTTCTTTCCTTAGTTCTGTAGTTATTAGAATTAAATGTATATCTTTTTCAGGTTCATAAAAAAACAAAATCTAGCCTTCTTGAACATCTTGACAGTGCATCCAGTGCTTTACTGGAAGTTATTTCCACACCTGAGTTCATGTTTTCACCTAGAGCTAAAAACAGGTCTGCAGGGCTATGAAATAGGAGCAAAATTACTGACAGCCACTAACAGACAGCAGAGTTGCAGAAGAAAGGTTAGCTTGATTAGTGGAGCATCCAGACCATTAAAAAAGGAGAGACCTTTGTGGAATACAGATTACAATGAGCCATAAGTCAATTGATTCCCTCACTGGTGCCTGAATAGAAATGCTGCTGCCACTGCTAAGCAGTTGATTTTATACTTTGGGTGGACCAGGAATCAAAGGGGTGGACTGCACCATTGCACCCCCACTAAATCTTCCTCAGCAGTCCAGGTCAGCATGGACATTTTTTTCAATGATAAAACTAGGAAAAGTCACAGAGGTAGATGCCAGAGTGAAGTGGAGAAATGGGGACCACCATCATTGTCTGGCAAGAGAGGACAAGAGAGACGCTAAATCAAATAGAGGGAAGGGAAACGTATACATATCCTTGAATATGCTAAATATAAGTAAATCACTGCTAGGAGATAGCATTCAGGAGTAAACATTTATACTGGCAATAATTAGATTCAAACTTCAAAATCCTTAGCCATGTACGGTTATAAACCTTTCACAACGTGCCTAATTGTGGTAGGAAGAAACTTTCCTTATGTTCTACAATTACCTGCATCAAAAGTGTCAGGCACTAGCAGTTGACAGACAGGATACTGGACTAGCTGAACCATATGTATTCCTTGGAAATTTAAGGATGCAATACACATAGAACAAAGGCTTCAGTTACAAAGGAGACACATCACACCTTCCTGTTTGAATTTTTATCTTAAAAGGATTAGAATAATCTTAGAGGTTTGCTTACTCTTAAAGTTGTTTGCAAGTTCTTACCACATGGAACAGTCATAGGATATGTGGATACCAGCTATGTTCTTTTTCTGAAAAGTAAGCAATAAATAAGATTACAATGAAAACTGGCCACTTCCCTAGCAATGGTTTCCAGATTTCTGATTTAGGAGAACTGACCTTGATCCTGCTTCCTTAGTGGTGTTAGTTATAAAGATTTACTGCTCATGTTTGTTCTCCTGGTATATTTTAAAATACTTGTAGTGCACATAAAACCATCCTTTTAATGTTAACACAAATATTTCTTCTTCAGAGTTAAATCTGACAAAGAATATAGATCAGTAAACAGATCATTATAGTTCGCCATAACATAAACCAGTTTAAAAAAAAAAAATTTTTTAAATCAATATTAGTCAAGATTGGTATTTAAGAAAGTATAAGATGTTAATGCTCAGCACTGCTTCTTTACATCACAGGAAAATGGAAGAACACCCCTGGCAGCATGGAAAGAGAGATAAAACCAGTGTATTTGCCATATACTTATAGTACCCTAGATGTTCAGGCCTATTAATCTCACCTCAACAAAAAAGTTAACACTGCCATTTTTGTAGTCCTTTGAGGAATGCCAGTGGGAATGAAAAAACTAATATAAAAATGTGTGAAGAAAATGCCATCCCCCCATCACTCAAACTGTATTAGGCAAAAAATGGAGTTTGGAACTTACACAAGTTTCCAGCCGAACCAGCTTCTACCCCATTTCAGTGGCAAGCATGAGAGCTGTGTTGAATAAATGGGTTCTAGTTTGCTTTTGTTCCAGAAGCAGAGTGCTTTTGGCCCTGGATCAGAAACAACCGGTCTCAGAAAAGCTACAGTGTAAGTTGCTGGCAGTTCCCTGCCAGAACCCCAGCCTTACTGCTCAAAGTTTGCTACTAGCTTGGCAGTCTGCTAAATCCACCTAGCAGCTGTTTGTATCCGCATGCTGTGTTCCTGATTCCCTGCCAAAACTCACTATGGAAGGACACCACAGGAAGGCTCACAGCTCCTTTCAAATACAGTGCGCCTCTTCAGCTGACAGGCATAGTCCATACGAAACCAACAATCACCTGAAAGTGGAAAAGGAAAGGGTTTTTTTTCACACAGGTCCTCTCTCAGTGGGGGACAGTACTGTGCTGCACCGTCCTGCAGTTAATTAGCCAGACGTTTCAAAAATAAGAAATCCAAATCGCCTACCAAAAGACCCTAGAAAAATGCACTGAAGCTTTTCCAGCTCTAGCTTTGCAGTTTTGCCCACAGGTTCCCAGAGCCCCAAAACACACCTACCTATTGGCTTTTCGTTTCAGCTCTCCAAAAAATGAAGGGAAAATTTGTACGGGGTGGGGGGAGAATCAAGATAATATATAAACTACAAGGTGCTTCCAATTTAGTTAATTAAGGATCTCAATGCCTAGATATAGGGTATTTGGCTCTTGCTAGCAAGACTGTTTTAGGAATCCAAGTTCTTTAAATTATTTGCAACCCATAACATTAATAAATAGAAAAATGTGTGACTCCCTGTTCCTGAGGTTCTCCAAAAATTAAATGAGGTAAAGTCACCAGTGCCACTCCAGTGCCAAATAGCTCCACCGTCATTGCTGATACAGTTCTGTCACAAGATGCGACTGCAACAACAGCAACTCCAAGGTGAACTTTTTGGTTTTTATAATGGCTTGCCAAACAATTACACCCACTTCGAACAGGATCACAATCCTTAAGAATCCGAGATGGATGTGATCCTCGAGAGCTTCTGAATTGTCAGGGTATGTCCTACCAGTGCTTGTCTTAGCTTTGTTTTCAAAATCATACTCAAATGTCTCCAGAAGATTTTAGTGTTCCCATCAGAAAACTGTTTATATGTCATCTTACAGCATGCTATGCTGTAGGGCTATGCAAAATTTCACTGAGTGTTTCGTTTTGAAGCTGTTTCGATGCATTTCCAGCAAAATCAAAACAAAACAAAAGGCTTTGAAACAGCTTCAAAATGAAACGAGGGCACTCGAAAGATTTAAAAAGTTCTGAAACGTTTTGAGTTTCAAAGCCGGGCTTATTTGGCTTCAGCGCCGGTCCCAGGTTGCAAAGGTAGCCTCCTCTCATCCAGGGCGCAGATCCAGGGGCTCGCACCCCCAAGAGGAGTCCAGCACAGCCCACCAGTCCTCCTTGGGGTGCAAGCCCCCGGATCTATGCCCCAGATGAGAGAAGTCTGCCTCTGCTACCTGGGACCAGTGCTGGGCACGGGCTGCACCCAGTACCAGAGAAAATTGCTGCTGCTACGTGTCCAGCACAGCCTGGCAGCCCTCCCTGCAATTTTCATCCAAATCAGGCAAGAACGGACAACGTTTTAGGCGTTTTCATGATTCCCCATTATAGACTATGGGTGAAACGTCAAAATGGATCAAAACAGTGATGTAGGTTGTAGCCATGTTGGTCTAAGGACATAGGCAGACAAGGTTCCTTGGGTGAATCTGATACCTTTTATTAGACCAACCCAAATAGTTGAAAAATAATTATTAAGCACGCTTTCGGGTTCAAAAACCAGATATCAGATTCACCCAAGGAACCTTGTCTGCTCAAAACAGTGAAACAGTTTCAACGAAACGAAATGGGACAGTGCTTCAAAACTAAATGACAAAACGAAACACTGTCCCTTCGAAACGGTGAAATGGACATTGAAACAAAACGATGGTGTTTCACACAGCCCTACTATGCTGTAATGTGACCTGTGACACTCAGTTGCTCAGCTCACAATCTTCAATTACTGACCCTTAACATTGCAAATTGCTCTGGAAGAATTGCCTTTTTGCAGAGAATTTAAAGGAAATCTTTAAATGATGAGACAGTTAAACTTCAAGACAAGCCCAAACCTAGACTTAGAGTTGCCAACTCTGTTTGAATCTGTTCCGGGAGGTTTCATCACATGGCATACTGACGTTAATTATGATGTGTAGACTTTACATCAGGAAAGCAAATGCAAATTGCTGTTACATTTTAAAAACTCACTGGACTACTGTATACATCAGATTCAACATTTCATATTGATTTTAATTAATACGCTATCATTTATCTCCCAGATGACTCTCAGAAGTGTCCTGGAGATTTGTATCTAACTCCTGGAGACTCCAGGGTGATCCTGGAGGGTTGGCAACTCTACCTAGACTCCTCAACTTTAAAGCATTATCACAAAAGGCAAAGGAGGGATAACAAGCCTTCAAGGGGAAGAGTTTATATAACTTTTGTCCCTTTTAGTGCAAGTATACAATATTCGGTGTCCTAAGTTTCGCACCCCCTCATCCCATTACCTGGAGAACTTGATTATCTGAAGTAGTTATTGCCATAGTATAATCCAAGATATGTATAAAATGTACACAAAAGTCCTGTTCTATGAATAGGAGAGAAGCAGCAGGAGGCGGTTTCTTGTTGAAGGAAATTTCCAAGTCCAAATTCCATTCCAAATCTTTCTTTCCAGTTTACACTGCGCCCAAAAGAGCGTGCCCTCTCTCTCTGCTTCCTCTTACTGCCATGCTACCAGTGCTGTCTTTTCTCTTCCTCTCAGGGCCATGCTATCTTCTGATTCACTCTGGCTGTTCTGTTTTCTGTTTCTCTCACACAGCTGCAAACCCAGCATTCCCCAGACAGCATGGTTCAGCTCTACCCCAGCCTTATTATACTGGTTTGATCTGAGCATAGGCATCTATTTTTTCAGCTATCACTAAAGCAAGTGACACGCACACACTTGCTCCCTCACTGAGCCTGAATGAAAGGCAACTAGCAAGCCGATCAGCCCAGAGATCAAAGGCACTCTTGCTGGCAGTTACCAGAGCCTACCAACATAACAATATTCTTACCAGATTTATCTGTCTCAAGACAATAGGGATAACATTTAAAGAAGTCATTTGGTCTCCTTTCACAAATTCTTCTAAACCAATGAGCCCCATCCAAATCTAGGAGGAAAACTTTCGTAATTCACTCATCAGATGTCAAATATCACCACCAACCAGCTGTTATGATGCAAAACAATGTCTTGTTGAGATGGCTTGCCAAATTTTTCTTCCCATTAAATGAAATAAGATGTCAGTGTTCTAACTGCGCATGCAAATGTTTATTTCTAAAAACCCTATTAAGCTCTTAGTCTCAATATCTTGTGGCAGTGAGTTTCACTAGTCAGCTATGTCTTGTGCAAAAAATACTTCCCCATATGAAATCTTAAATTAATTTTCTTTCAGCTTCATTGAATGGCTCCATTAGTCCTACATAGTAAGCTAATGCATGGAATTACATGTGCCCTTGATAGATAGATAGATAGATAGATAATTTATTATTTTATTTCCTTCTTAATTTTCTATCTAAGCTAATTTTGACTGGTTGACCAAGCCTGAAGACAACATTCTAGGTGACAGGATCCTATTATTTTCAACATTATGATCTATTCCGTTCCTTATTCTTTGACCTCCACCATACTTAAGTAGGAATTCATCACTGACCTCTTTTTCAGCCCCTCAATATTTCATTGACCTGTCCTTCTGTCCTCCAACCACCATCTCTATTGCCCTTCCTGTTCACGCATATATCCTTTGGTCCTATTGCCACCTCAAATACTTCCCTCCCAAAAGTGCCACTTACCTCCAAGCTCAGATTGTTAACATTAACAGGTGAACAATCTCTAACAGGTAGCAATCTCTTTATGACATCCTCCAAGCAGGGCCACTCCTACCTTGAAATGCTCATTTGCAGCCACAACCTTGGGAACAGACTGCGTGTTCCCTCTCTTTCCAGAGGGGAATCAAAACAATTATTCCACTTCCCCACTCATACTTAAGGCCAGAGACAGGGCAAAGGGGTGCTTGCCAGTACTGTAAAAAAGCTCTAATTTCTTCTCTATTGCCACTGTCTGGGTTGCTCAGCACTTCACTGCTGCACTACACAAAGTCTCTAAAACAGGGGTGAGCAATGATTTTGGCCAGACAGCTGCTTAATGAGTTTTGGTGAGTTGTTGAGTTGTTGAGCC